AGAAAAAAATGTTTGGTGGGCTTCTCGTTGCAAAGAGACAAACCGTCAGTGACAAGATACACGGACTGTTCCAATTGGGGAGCAAATGCCGAGTAAAGAAACTCAAAATAGTACAGAGAAAAATTTGTGGGAAGCCGTTGGCTGCCAAGGAAGAAGTCGCCAGCAACAGGAGATGCATGCTGCTTCAGTTGAAAAACGATTGTCAATTCCGGTTGTTCAGAAATGGTTGCGAAGGCAGCCACAGCTAGCGACAACTCAAAGATGGGTGCCGATCAAGCGGAAAAAATCCAATATGTCTGATAGCATGCCTAGAAGACTTGGAAAATCTGCAGTAAGTGAGGATGATGATTTGGATGAGAAAATTGAGGTTGATGAAAAAGCTATCGAAAAAGAAGTTGATAAGCTTTTTAGCATGATCAATCCCAATGAGGTAGATGTTTTGGGAATACTTCCTGTTGAATTCCATCCCAAAAGCTCGCAGCCTAACCGTTTGGAGGGAGACATTGAGGTAGAAGAGACAGAGGTGACTGCTCTTGTTGGTGATGATGATTTTTGTCCAAAAATGTTGGCATTCCCAAAACTTTATGATGAACAAACTCAATCATCTCAAGCCTTTATATTTAAGGGCATTGATAGATGGGCGCCCCATGGGAAGAGTGTTGGTTGATGGAGGGGCTTTTGCTAATGTTATGTCGTTTTCAACCGATCGTAAAATTGGGAAGACACGAGAAGACCTTATCCCAACCCGGATTCAAACAACGGATTTTACTGGAAATGTGCATAAACCATTTGGAGTGTTAAAAACCGATGTAACAGTTGGGACAAAAATAGTGCGAGTAGCTTTTATAGTTATTGAAGGAAAACCGGCTTACTCGGCGTTGTTGGGAAGAGATTGGATCCACATGTGCAAGTGTGTGCCATCAACTTTACATCAACAGGTACATTTTTGGGATAGAGAGACGGTTCAAACGGTTGATGCTCAAGCCGATCCATTTGCCTTTGAATTGGCTGCCATGGATGCTTCTTATTATTTAGCCGATTTGCAACCATTATCTGTTGGTGTTGAAAGATAATATGCAAGGAGATGTCGAGTGTGTTCTCACATCCACTGGCTTTGAAATAAGGCCGCAGATTGAGTGTTGGACAACTAGAGTTGTTATTCAATTATGGCAATTGAACAGGAAGACACCGGAAGATTTGAGCCGCTCCCACCGGTACAGAGGAGAGCGCCAACATTTGAAGCGCATGACCCATTAGTGGAAGTGAATTTTGGAACGCCCGAAGAGCCAAGGACTACAAGAAATCAGTGCATTACTGTCTGATCATGACTGTTTAAGAGTGGAAGATTCGATTCGCAAATATCGTGATTGTTTTGGTTGGGATTATTCGGGGCTGGGCTAACTAGGGAGTTGGTTGAGCATCGATTGCAAATTAAATCAGGTTATCGATCCACAAAGAAGCCGCCTAGAAGGTATAATCCCGAATTGCTTATGACGATCAAATCAGAAATTGAAAAAATTTTCAGAGCGGGGTTTATTTGTACTAGCCGTTATCCAGAATGGATATCAAACATTGTACATTGTTAAGAAAGAAAATGACGTAGTGCGAGTATGTATAGATTTTAGAAATCTCAATCTTGCAACGCAGAAGGATCATTACATTATGCCGGTTGCTGATATGTTAATTGATTCAACAAAAAATCATGGCATATTATCTTTTATGGATGGTTATTCGGGTTACAACCAGATTTTTGTAGCCGAGGAAGATACTCCCAAGACGGTGTTCCGATGTCCAGGGGCAATTAATCTATTCGAATGGGTTGTTATGCCTTTTGGTTTGAAAAATGCTGGAGCTACAAATCAACGCGCCATGAACTTGATTTTCCATTATCTCATCGGAAGATGCATGGAAGTTTACGTTTATGATGTAGTGGTGAAATCTGATAGGATGGCGTTTTATTTGGAGCATTTGGAACAAGCATTTCTGCGAATGAGACGTCATTGGCTGAAAATGAACCCCGCAAAATGCGCTTTTGGTATTTCGGCGGAAAACTTTTTGGGATTTTTTATCCATGAGAATGAAATTGAAATTGATCAAAATAAAGCAAGAGCCATCATTGAAACAGCTCCTCCGAAGTCGATTAAATAGTTGCAAAGTTTAATGGGAAAGATGAATTTTTTTAGGCGGTTCATTGAAAACGCAGCGGAAGGCTTTCACAATGCTTTTGAAGGGAGGAAGATCGGCTGAATTTATTTGGGGAGCAGAGCAGTAGACTAAGTTCGATGAGATGAAGAAGGTTATGTCCAGCCCTCCGGTCTTGGTACCACCGAAAAAGTGCCGGCCATAGAAACTTTATGCAGCAGCATCTGAAGAAAGAATTGGTAGTGTGTTGGCGCAAGATGAGGATGAAGGTAAAGAGAGAGCGATATACTACTTGAGCAAAAAATTGAACGATGCGGAAGGCAGGTATTCTAGTATAGAGAAATTGTGCTATTCGTTGTATTACGCATGAACAAAACTCGAGTATTATCTTGTTCCGCATGATGTTTTTGTCTTTTGCAAGGTCGATTTAATTAAGTATATGTTGAATCGCCATGTTCTTAAAGGTCATCTTGGGAAATAGGTTGTTCGATTGATGCCTTTTGAGTTGAAATATATGCCTTTGAAAGCTGTAAAAGGATAGGCCATTGCCGAATTTCTTGCCGAGCACTCGACTTCTAAATCAATAGAAGGTGTTGATATTGTTTTTGTGGGAGCAGCCCCTTGGATTTTACAGTTTGAAGGGTCAAGGACTCATACGTCGGCAGGAATTGGCATCGTGATAGTTAGCCCATATGGCGAAATTTGGAGGCATTTCTTTCGACTTCAACAAGAAAACACGAATAAATCAAGCTGAATATGAGGCTCTCATATTTGGATAGTGCATGCTGGCGATTCATGAGGCACGACATATATTGATCCAAGGCTATTGACAGTTGGTGATTAACCAACTTGTTGGCGAATATCATTTTGGGGATCAAAATTTGTTACATTTGTATGATGAGGCACGAACTTTGTTACATGAGTTTGATGATGTCGCCATGATACATGTGTCGAGGCGAGATAATGATGAGGCAAATGATCTTGCGTACTTTTTCTGAATCTCGGGGGGGATACCAACGCGTCGAGTTATCGTAAGGCCGCTAAATCAGCAGACCAGCTGATGGAAATTTTGTGCCAAGATGCAAGCCAGGGTCAGGATTTAGATTGGCGACAACCTTTTATACAATTTCTTGTTGATCCTTCCCAGGATATGTCTTCTGAAACTAAACGCAAGTCCCTCAGGTATACGTTAATCACCGGAGAGTAATACCGACGAGCTATCAGTGGGGTATTGTTGAAATGCCTTGATAAAGAGCAAGTGTTAAAGGCAATGGGAGAGATACACGAGGGTATTTGTGGAGCACATCGGACAGGCCCACACATGAAATGGTCGTTGTTGCGGTGTGGGTATTTTTGGCCAAAGATGGGAGAGGATTGTGTTGCATACGCTTGGGGTTGCCAAGCTTGGCAAATGCACGGACCAATTAGACGAGCGCTAGCTGAGAAGTTACATCCCATTATTAAGCCATGGTCTTTTAAAGGTTGGGTGATGGATATCATCGGGAAGATTCACCCGCCATCCTAAAAAATACATGCTTTCATTCTTGTGGTGACTGATTACTTTACGAAGTGGGCGGAAGCGGCTCCATATGTGAGCATCAATCAAATGGATGTTATCCGATTCATCAAAGAAAATATAATTAACCGCTTTGGAATTCCTCAGACAATTACGGTTGATCAAGGGACAATGTTTACTGGAGAGCGAGCATAGCCTTTGTGTCTCAATATGGGATGAAATTAATTCATTCGTCGCCGTATTACGCTCAGGCCAAGGCTACAAATAAAAATCTTGGGATGATTATTAAAAAGGCGTTGGAAAATAGCCCTAAAAAATGGTATGAAGTTTTATCGGAGGCGCTGTGGGCATATCAGAACGCCAAGAACACTGCGACTGCTTTTTTGCCTTTCCGATTAACATATGGGCAGGATGTTGTGTTGCCAATAGAGATCACGGTTCCTTCTTTGCGTGTTGCTCTATAACATGGATTGAGCATCGAAGATTATCACTAGGCCTTATTTGATGAGCTGGATCAGGTGGAAGATGAGTGATGGACTGCTTTGGAAAACATCCGAGCACATAAGGCCAAGGTGGCACAATGGTATAACAATAAAGTTAAAGGACGATCATTTACAGTTGGTGATTTAGTTTGAAAATGTATCTTGCCGATCGGGACAAAAGATCATCAAAGAGGAAAATAGTCTCCGAGTTGGGAAGGTCCTTATGTGATTAGTGATGTGCTACCAAATGGAGCGTATCGGATAATGCATCCTGATGGGTTGGAATTAAAAAGGGCTATGAATGCAAGATTTTTAAAGTCATACTACATGCCTATCGAAAATGCTGAGTAGAGTGGGGATGGGATAAATGTGAGTGAAATTTTGTGTTACATTGTTAGCAAAGCTTGTTCATGTTTTATCTGGTGCACACATCAAACAATTGAATAGCTAGAAAAAATACACATATATATATTAGATAATAAACCAGTGTCAAAATGGTGATCAAAAGAATATGAAACAACTTGAGTTAGTCAGTCATATAACATGCAAGTGTGTATCAAATAGACCTACTGGGTCGTTTCCTTCCTGAAAAGCGAGTAGGTACCAGTATAATGGCGAGCTGAAGCGATGTGTCGGCATTTGGATCTAGGCACAGCTGGGATGGCAGGTCAGAAGCCGAGGACAAGACTGTTGGAGCATGGATAATCCCAACATAAGGAGAAGTAGGTGTTGCAAAATCGGACGCCGTTGCATTAATTTCAGTCTGGACAATAGAATCCCATAATGCAATTATTGTTTTCCATTCTTCTTCAAGAGTGGCGAGCCCCTGATCACTGTGGCGAAGGTCATCGGTCAGTGAAGATTCTTGTGCTTCTAATTCGTCAATTTTAAGATCAAGCTTGACAGATTGGAGGTAAAGTTCATGTTGGTGTTCTCGTTGTACTGATAGTTCATGAGTTAATCCTTCATTTGCCGGCTTCAATTATGCTAGGCGAGTTTGCACCCGCAATAATTCATCTTGTATTACCATTTCCTTATGTTGAAAAGAAGCTAATTGAATTTTTTTGGCTGAAATATACTTTTCTACCTTTTCGAAGTTCTGGAAGATAGCTTGTTTGTTACCTCGCAGGGTAGATAATCGAGCTAGAGCATCTTTGATTTTTTTCCTTAGATCCTGGAGGAGTTGGCGTCGTTGTCCCATTTCCCATATTTGAGATGCAAGCGCTAAAATTTGGGATGCCTGTGTAGGAGCAAGTTTGGCAATATCACTTAGGGCCAAACAGATTGAAGTTAGAGCTTCGAGGCTAGAAGAGAATTCTTGAAGATGGTGTTGCATGGAAGAAAGATTGGTTCTGAAGCAGCTCAGTGTTGAAAGGTGTGGAGTAGGTCCTTTTTGGGTGGTAGACTGGAAGTATTCCTTGACTACTGTTTCAGCCGGAATAATTGCTGGAATAGTTTGGGGAGCAGCCGGAATAGGATCAAAAGAACTGTAAGCAGCCTGAGGTGGCGTTCCTTTGGGTTTCTTGGAAATGGTCTGAGAAGGAGTTCGTCACAGGTTAAATTCGAATGAAGCGGTTCAAAATCATAATAAGAATAATACTAAATAGTGTTATACCTTTGATTGAGAAAAAATGGTTAGTGCTACGTTTTGTCTTTTCCCCAGACGATGGTGGAGCTGGAAGTTTTGTTTGGCGTGTTGATCGCCAAATTATTTGGCGAGAAGGCAAATCAGAAAGGTTAGCCACCAAAGCTGAAACATAAAGGGAAAGAGCATTAACAGGGTTAGAAAGAAAAACAGTGAATGGATGTTGATAGTACCTGGAGATAAAGGAGCAGGGGATCGTGTATCGTTATACAATCGGGTTGAACTTTCGGACTCGGATTGAACATCGATCAGCCATCCCAAATAGGTATGAACTAATTCGGGAAAGGCTAAGCTCCACATATGAGTCCACCAATCTTTGAAATGAGCAGTTTCCTTGGGTGACATATCGAAACTAATGTTCTCGAAAGTGTGCATACAAGACCCGATTTCTTCACAAAGGAGAATATCTGCTTCTGTCAACCCATCATCCCATACACATGGCGAGAGTGGAAGACCAATGAAGAGAGAGGGAATTGGAATACTTTGAGTCAAACAAAGTTGTCGTGCACATTACTGAGGTAGATATGATTCAAGCTTGATGCGATAGGAATGAGATTTCACACGGAGACCGTTAGCTAAGGGGCGGGTTGTCAATACGCTAAACCAAGATGTATTTGAAAGAGAGGCTGAGTTTGGAGCCTTTTTCAAGTTTCCGGTGAACCATGATGGTCCGCAAATTCGATCAGATAGAGGGCATAGAAAAGAGCTAGGGCGATTTGATTGGGCTAAGAGAGAGTTGACTATCTCAAAGGCATTTTTGCGGGGAAGTGTGGTTTGGATTAGAGAGTAGCCATATAGGCGGTTAGGTTGGAATCAAGGAGTGGGAGTGGAGTCACTATAAAGGTCAGGGAAATACAAAAGTAACCACAATGAGAGAAATCATAAAGGACTGGATGAAGTTGAAGGCGGTTTTCCTGTTGCACACTGGTCCAATAATTGATTCAATCAAAGGTATAAATGAGATAGGAATGTGGAAGCAAGGGTGAAGCGTTGACCCGATATTAGTGCTTTCATTAAAGCTTCGCATTTTCGGGCTACGCCTTTAGCCGTGGTGCAGATAAAAATGAGAGAGTATCATTACATTAAGAAGGCCATCTTTTCTTCGCGTTTCACTTTGCCCTTCTTTTGATTCCTGGTCACTTAAGTTTTCATATTGCCACTACCTCCTGTAAAATCAAATTCCCATGGACTAGGATAATCTAAGGACGCCAAGGGTAGCTCGCGACCATCTACAAGCAGTCCTAAGATCACGGCAACATCCAACAATGAAGGAGACATTGGACCACACAGGAAGAGAAAAATGCTAATCTCACTATTCCAAAACCCAATCAAGCTTGCTAACATGTCTACTGAGCAAGGAGGAAGAAGGAGTGAAATTCTTACTATATCATAGATACCGGAAGCGTGACATTCCTTTTCGCGAGCTTTCAACATCCTTTCCACCCATGGGTGGTAAACGGTATCTATTTGCAGCAATTGAATGAGAGAATTGGGAAAAAGATTAGGGTTTAACCATGAACAAGAGAGACGAAGTACATCGCATTTCGAATCAGCAAAGGTGTTGGGCGGTGTCGGTAAAGTTTTTTCAAGATCGAGAGAGGGCTGAAGAAGAAAAAATCCATTAGAAATTGCTACCAGAGAATACCCAAAGCTCGAAACTATTTTCGGGGTTAGAGGTGGACTATCAGAGGCGTTGAGCATTGTTTTCTTGGAAATGTCTAGTGGAAAGGAAAATTAGATTTGAAAGTGATTAGAAGATTTGGAGTGCAGATGAATCTTGGGTGAGAATATTTCAATTATGAAAGCAGGTCGGCTGTGTGGAAATGAATAAATAGGTTGATCTATATCCACTTGGGTTATAAAAGGTGGATAGGGGTTTGAATAAATGGGTTAATCTTAGATGTAGTTTGCCCAAATAGCATAGAGCAACTTGGTTTCGTGGAAAAATAAAATGTTCAGGAAAGTATATTTCACAAACTTTAATTGTTTGAATAATTAATATTTGTGAAATATAGGGGGGCATTTATGTTGATATGTTTTTCTTAAAAGAAAAAAAGAAAGTTATTATTTTTGGCAATTTAAAGAAAGTTCATAATACATAAAGTAAGTGTGATCAAATTGGGGAGTTATGTGTGTGCAACGGCTGGGATGAAATGCGGAAGGTTGAAAATACTTAATTGCTCATTAAAGTGGTGATTAAGAGGGGGAGATTGATGGTGACAGTTTTGGTTTTCTGGAAGAAGGCAATAATATACAGCAAGAGAACAATGGGGGAGGACGACTTCTCTCCTGCAACATTTCTGCTTTGTTTCTTATTTTCCTTTCCGCTGTTATTTTTTGTTTAATCTATGTTTTGCAATCGACATTTCTCAAGCCAATACAATTTGTTATCAAGTGCATCATGTTGTCGAGTTAAGTCAATTACTTTCCCGAAAAATTAATCGGATACCACCGGGAGCTCGCATCGAGTCGCCCGGGAACCCACCATATCTCACGAACTAGAATTGTTCGGCCGGAATCAATTTCGAGGCCAATAATATTCAAAATTTTCTCCAGCAACCAACCATCGCCGGAGAAGAAGAAAGATGGGAAGCCATCTCCACCACCACCGCTGGAAAATATGAAGGAAGAGAAGACGATTCTGTGACGGCCTTTGTCCCCGTCATCCCTGCCGCCGGAGTAGATGGAGGAGAAGAAGTAGACGATGTTTTGACCATCACCGACCCCACCACTACCATCGGCGCCGGAGAAGAAAGAAGAGGAGTATAAGACTCCGTTGCCGCCGCTGCCGTCGACTTCGGATAAGAAGGAGACGCTGTTACAGCTGCCACCGCTGTCGTCGCCACCGAAAAAGATGAAGGAAAAAGAAGAGATGCCGTTGCTGTTTCCGCTGTCGCCACCATTTCCACCGCCCCCAAAGGAGAAGGAGGAGCCGCCACCATCACTACCCTCGTCACCGAAGAATGAGGAGAACAAGCCGTTTCTGTCGTTGGTTCCGCTACCGCCATCGCCACCGCCACCGTTGCAGCCGCCAAGGAAAAAGAATGGGGATGAGTAAAAGAATAAAAGATGAAGAAAGAAAAAAAATTGAGAGGAAGAAATTATTATAATTTTGGGTGGAAAAATTATTTTTTGGGAAGAGGGAAGGGTAGGTGGCGATATTTATTAGGGTTAGTGGAGGCATTAAAAAATAAATGTCTAAATTAAGTCAAATATCATATATTTTGGAAGAAAATAAGATTCCAATAAAATAAATATATAGTATTTAATTATGCATATATGTTATTTTTTTAAAAATAAATATAAACTATTAAAGCAAAATTTGCTTAAAATGAAAGATATTATGCAAATATTATGCACATAAATAAAGTCATAATACATTTGACAGTAAAATAAATTAATTTTTTCAATAAATGAAGTATTTAAATTAATATCTTCCAAGAAATGAAATTATAAAGATCTTGACAAGAAAAGAAAACGCACAATCAAATCATTTAAGAATGAAAAACGGCATTTGATGAAAATTTAAGGATTGTAAAATCTTCCCGTTTGTCAATCATGACGTGCCACATAGCATCATCCGAAAAAGAAACCGAGGTCACCCCTCCCTTATAAATAGGAGTCTTGGCCAATGCATTTGACATACCGAAGTTACATTGAGGATTCAAGTAAGGGGTAAGTCTCTGGACTCTCTCTACAATATTCTTCTTTATTTTTTGTGTCCTTCGAAGCGTTATTCATCGAAAATTAATTGATTTGGACATATGATCCAATATAAGTTGACGGATCGATGGAGTTAACATTCTTCATCGTATGCCCAAGCCAGTGGAAGGATCAAAACTCCAAAAAGCGTTGAAGAACCCGTCAAAGCCAAGGAAAAGCCTCCAAAGTTCATCCTAAAGCTTCAAGGCGTTCATCGCGTCATTCGCCAAATCATCAAATTCAGCCATCTTCGATCCAAAAGTCAAAGAGACACGCCACCGGAAAAGCGTTATGGAGCACCAAATCCACCTCTTAAAGATCAAAACCTCGGATTGTCCAAAGAAGACATCAAATCCAAAGGCGATGATCAAATTCGCCTACACGGAGATTAAAACCCTCCAAAAGCTGGAAAAGTCAAATCGAGGCTCAAATCCGTCAACAAGTTGGATTAAAGATCAAATTATTCAAAGTCCGACAAATCCAAACCAAAATCAAATCTCTTCGGATCAAAGAAGCCATTCAAATTCAAGTTAGAAAATGAATCGGCCAGGAAAGAGAATCAACGAGACTTATTTAGAGAATATGACCCGCTTTAAATCTAAATTAAATATAATTTATACAAATTTTGTGTTTATTAAAAATAACATAATTTTTTTTTGTCTACAATTAGTTTTATTTAGTTTTTTTAAAAAATTATTTGATAGGTTCGAAAAATTCTGAAGCTTTATTAATATAACATAATATATATACTAAAATTTAAAAAAAAAGAGTAGCTTTTCTTTTTTATATATATAATAAAGTTTCAGAAGTTTGAGACAATTTTTTAATTAAAACATATATAATATGGATTCAAATTTGTCAAGACTAATAAATTAATTAAATATAAATAATATACATAATAAAGTTTTAGAAACTTCAAGAAATATTTTTTAAATAAAAAAATAATATATATAATAAAGTTTTAGAATTTTTTGATTAATTAAATATAAATAATATATATAATAAAACTTCATAAAATTCGAAACAAAATTTTTAATTAAAAAATAATATATAATAAAATTTCGAAATTTTCAAGACTAGTTAATTAATTAAATATAAATAATATATATAATAGAACTTCGAAAATTCTGAGACCAAGTAATGGACTCACAAATTTTCGAGTTTTTTTATTAAAAAAATAATATATATATAATAAAGTTTCAAAACTTCGAGATCATCTAAAATATAGTCGGAAAAATTTTGAACCTTTTAGCAATAGTCACGGAATGACCTCGGACATTCTATGTCTTTTAAATTAGATAATATTATGTAGAAAATGGTCTCGAAATTTTCGAAACAATTATAATAAAAATAATTTTATATTATTTATATTATTTTTTAGTAGCCTCGAAATTGATTCCGAAACTTTTTTCCAAGGCCCATTTGTAAAATTCTGTTAGCATAAAAACTGCTATAAATGGACATTTTTTTGTTATAAAAAGTTAGTTGTAATGACTTTGTATCGGATTTTGACCGGTGCAGATACTCGAATTACAAAAAATATCAAACTGATATTTTCCGTATTAAAATTGGACAGTCAATGCACTTATAAAGCACGTGAAAAATCTTATTATAATAGTTTTGTAATGCCAGTTATGTATTTTTTATTTATTTGTAATAGACATTTCTCGTAATAAAATAATCATTACAATAGTGATCTATACATTTGTAATAGTTTTTGTTACGGTATAAAATTCGTTATAATAAGTTGGATGTCAGAATAGTATTTTATACGACCGATATAGTTTTTGCACCGGTATTTGTAACGACAACAATTTTGCAACAAAAACATTATCCCTATTTTTCAGTAATAACAACAAAAAAAAAAAAAAATTGTAACAGAACCCGAAAACCTGTAAAATGAGAGAAAATATTGTGAAATGACATTACAAAACATGAATTTGTTACATCAAATATGTATCACCATCAGTTGCACCAAGTACACACTGTTTAGGAACATAACTATTTGCCAAAATGGTCAAATATAAACAATCCAAAAGCAAAACATAGTAACAAACATACAACTTTCACTACACATGTAAGTTCAACCAACTGAAACAATTGTCAATATCAATCCACAAATACAAGTCAGTCCTCTTAGAAATACACAACAGTGCATCGCCTCACGTAGCATCAAAGTGAACATACAAGACAGTTACGGGTGAAAAACGAGTTGTCAATATAGTGCAATGGACACAAACTATTCTACTGTCACAAAATTGACTGCTACATGAAAGTTTAAAAGTTAATTCTAATTTAAAAAGACAAAATTGTCCATAACTCCCTTGTGATTTCGAAATTCGGCGTAAATCGCCCATTTACTTTAAAAATTGTATGGCGCTCCCTTATATTTTAAAAAATATTGCATGAAACCCCTCTTTGGTATCGGAACTCAACGTAAATCATCATTTTACTTTAAAAAGCTGCATGACACCCCATATATTTTCAAAAATATCGCTTGAAACCCCTCTGTCATGCAAAATATATAAGTATAAAATCATCTTCTCATCACACAAGGAATGTTTCATGGTGGTGGGTTTTATGCAACGTTTTTTAAAATATAAGAAGATACTATGCAATTTTTGAAATTATATAAGAGTTATGAGCAATTTTACCATTTAAAAAAATAAAAATAAAAGTCCATATTACCGTCACTGCACGTATATCCAAAACTTGAAAACAGTAATGATAGCAGCACGTATATCCAAAACTTGAAAATGATAAATCAATACCCATGACATCCATCAACTTGAAGATAATACCAAATTGAAGATAATACCAAATTGACACAAAAGAAATATTGTGCGGTAAAATATTAAGGATCTCGGTCAAGCTCATAAAGCATGATGTGAACCCTCCAATAGAAAGCAATTCACATTGTAAAAATAAAAAATGGCAACTCAAAATACATGAGAACATGAATCTATGTTTAAATATATCCATTATTATTATGTTAATTTTAATTTATATATAATATAATATATATATATATATATATATATTTTAAAATTCAGCCCAACTTCCCTGTTTACCAAATTGGGCCTTTAAAGGTCCACGAGATCAAAATTTGTTGGGCGAAATATCGAATATGTCATAATTTAGTAGAGTCAAGTGCAAATAAGGAATTGATGGAGGATTGTTAGTGTTCTTTGAAAGTATAATCAGATCTTCTGTTCCACGGTTGCATCTTACTTCGTTCGACCAAGATCCTCCGATCCGATTCCATTTTCGGAGCCCTGAATTTGTTGTTCAGCTCTCAAATCCATCGAATCTGCAGTGAAGTTCGCAGTGAAATTTTCGCTTGGTGTACACGTTCATACGCGCACGGTACTCGAAGATGTATATGGCGTATGGATGGCCGCAGGTCATCCCTCTGGAATCACCGAGCTGCCCATCCACGCAGCAGATCGTGTATCTGAAAGTCGTCAATCGTGTGCTCCTTGTCGTGGCTCCCACTCACCTCGAGCTCTGGTCTTCTTCTCAGGTTTGTATGCGGGCATTGGCGAATTGTCGGCAGTTTTTATGAAATTTGTGTTTTGCAGGTGATTTGGGGAAATACGGTGTTGAGTTACGATTTATTTAATTTTCGTTCGTTTCTGTGGGCTTTGATTGGCAGCATAGAGTGAGATTGGGGAAGTACAAGAGAAATGTCGATTCGATTAGGAGCGAGGGGGAGAATTTACATGCGATTTGGAGCCCCGACACAAAGCTCATTGCTGTTCTTGTAAGTGTTCGAGTTTTTCTGAGCAGATACTATGCAATTTCCCTTAAATGCCATAACATGAAGCAACTTATTTAGTATTAATATGCATAGTTACATTATAGAAGCATAAGAGCAGTATAACACTTGGTTTCACCATGTCTGATATACTACGGGGTATAGAGAGCTCAATGAACTGTCGGCGACAATGGAAGCTGGGGGCACCTGGTTTCACCTCAACAGCTTTGTCCTGAGCTTTACGGGATTTACTTACTAAACTAACATAATAAGTATGGCTGTAACTTCTGCATGGTGAGCTAGCTTAACCAAGAGAGTGGATATGGAAAACCGCAATGCATCCCAGAGATCCTTATTGAGCTAAAGTATGAAGTTTGATAAAGATCAGAAACTCCTAACCCTCTTGTTGACTTTGGGTTGGAAATAAATGAGATGTACTGGGCTCGACATCGTTCTAGATTCAATTAGTAGAGTAGCTGTTAGTTTGTGCTATCTTTTTATGTGTTCTTTAATTTTCTTGTCAAATAACTAATTCCTGAGTAGAAGTTTTTCCATAGCACTTATTACTTTATCGAGTATTGGGATTCTTTTGCTACACTAATATAGCAATAAATTTATTGTCTAATAATGTTGTATTTTTAATGCATTGTTGAGCATTTGGTAATTTTGGTACTATAGTAGCAAATAGTTTGAATTGAATGATCATAGTGGACAGTACATGTTCAAGACGCGTCACATGTTTCTCTTAGTTAGTTTTGTATGCTTATATATACATAGAGTATAAAATGCATTTAATTGGTGAGTCAATGTTTCTATATGACTTCTGGTGATTTATGGTTGCGCCTATTTGCAGACAACATCCTTCTACCTTCATATTTTTAAAGTTCAATTCACTGAAAAGAATATACATATTGGTGGGAAGCAACCAACTGGTCTATCCTTCGCGAACATAACTCTACTGCTGAGTGAGCAAGTCCCATTTGCAAATGATAGTTTGACAGTGTAAGCATTCATTTTTATGTACTCTTTTGTAAAGAAACTCATTTGTCGCATTATATACATGTTTTGATGGAGATACACTACTAGCTCAGTTATTTATGAGTCTTCTCTGTCTTCTTGTAGTTGTTTCGTCTATGTTTTTTTATTACTATTTTACAATATTTTAAACATTTAATGCTGAAGGGGCATGCTAAAGATACATTTTTCTCCTTGGGTTATAAGTGTAGAAATGTTTGGATAAATTTAATTTAAGGAAGTTCTCTCTGTGATTCTTTAACAGAAGCATGCTGTAGATTCAGAATATAGAATCTATGATGTCTGTGTACCCTTAGGGGCACAGGGCATATGCTTGGAGATGAAAGAGCTCCCTTATTGTTTCTATCTTTCCAAGCATGATATTTAGCATCACTTCAGCTTTGATGCATTGTGTCTTTGATACAATAGAGCTAAATGCATCTTGAATGATTGTTAAATATATCTGACTGAAAGTTCTGCCTGTTTGATGATTACTTTAGTTGTGAAAACTAGAGAAATATTTGTAAGATCTTGATTAGTTGATGAAATTTATTCTTAGCAACATTGAAACATCATGTGAAACCTGCAATTTCCGAGTCGTTGTATATCTCCTACCTTTAGTTTTTGTTTTGTTTTTTTCTTTTTTACCTCTGAATCCGTTATTCACTTTAATGAGGAAGGGAAGTTGTTTGTATTAAACCCTTTTAAGTTCTCTTCTTTTTGTGCATAAAATAATACGTCTAAGTCTTGTAATCGAGATACCTTATTTTCGTTATGTAATTTGATATGATTGTTATAACCTTGGAGATAAGAGTTTGCTGTTGATTAGGTTTATCATTTGCTGAAAGTTTGACTATTTTGAACATTTATCTTAATGTGAATTTTATTTTGTTTTTCCTCATATACAGAGTGGTACTTAGCTTTGCCTTGGTTTTCTACCTTAATGTTTCATTCAGTGTATCTTTTTTTGGATGGCAGGAGCAACTTCATTTGTGATAACAAACACATGCTAATTGGACTCTCTGACGGATCACTGTATAATATATCTTGGAAGGGTGAGGTATGCTCTTTGTCGTAAGAATGTCCTTGGTTATTGTTTGTTGGATATTAAACAAAATGTGTAGGTGCTTTTTTTTCCTTTTTTCCTTTTTTCCTTAATTTTCTCAGTGTCATTTAAATTTAGAAATACCTTCCTGCCTCAAAGAATGTTTTGCTGTTATAGATACATTAAAACTTTCCATTGGAGACTTGACTGATTTCCTTCATCTGTATACAGTTTTTTGGTGCATTTTTTCTTGATCGGAGGCAGAGTGACAACATTGGTACTCATAAATATCCTCATCACCTGAGCAATGGTGTGGCTTCTTGCACAACAAAAGGTATTGATGGGTCCAACCATACGAATGATGCTCACATTCGGGCTTCAGCAGTTGTCCATCTTGAATTTTCGATTCTGTTGCGGTTGCTTTTTGTGCTTTTTTCTGATGGAGAACTCATCCAGTGTTCTGTGAGCAAGAAAGGTCTAAAGTACACTGAATCGATTATTGTTGAAAGAAAGCTGGCTTCTACGGATGTTGTATGTGCATCAGTGGCCCCAGATCAACAGATTCTTGCTGTTGGAACCCAGAAAGGTGCTGTTGAGCTATATGACCTTGTGGATTCTGGGGGGCTTATTCGCACTGTATCATTGCATGATTGGGGGTAAGCTGTTTCCATCCTGAGAAACTTCTGAAGTAGTAAAACTTTGTGGACATCAAGTATCACTCACTCTAGTCGTGTTTGGGATTTGAAATTTTCTTCTACATGGAAAATAAACTCTGGATGTGATGTTTTAGTGGAAATAGGTTTTTGGATGTGATAATTTTTGGATAAAAAGTAGGGTTGTGTTCTTTTGTGGGTTTTACTAAATTCAGATTCTTTTTTCCCTAAAAAAATATCAAATCAAACACTTACTTTTCTTTTTTTATATTATACTACAAAATTATTTTACATTCAAAACATCATATCAACCTCTATTTATATCACATCAAACAACTATTCAAATTCAACTTTTTACTATTCAAAACTCCAAACCCAAAAACTAAAACCCACAAACAAACACACCCTAGGTGTTTTATGTGATTTCCTTTAGGGTGAATATTATATTATAAATTGCATAGATCAAACAAGATTGATCACTCAGACAAACACAATCTCGTTTTTGGATGTGATATTTTTGGATAAAAAGTAGGTGTTGTATGTGATTTCTTTTAGGGGGAATATTATACTATAAATTGCATAGATCAAACAAGATATCACTCAGACAAACACAATCTCGTTTTCCAGTTGCATAGGGTTTAGAGGCTTAATTTGCTTCCCTAACTATTTTTTGGAAAAGTTGTGCTTATGTATAAGCAATTTAAGGGCAGTTACGTCTGTTCGCCTTGGTTGAGAATTTTGTAGTTGGAAAGAGAGAAAAAAAAAAAAAAAACAAAAAACTGTCTATTAGATGACAGTATATGGACAGTTGGGTTCTTCAGCCTTGGTGGCATTTAAAATAGGGGATCGCATCTTACACAATGTATGATGACATAAACATGGGATCTGGTGGTAGGTTGGCCTCCTTTTATTCAAGGGAAATCTATACCTGCCGTACTATAGAGAGATTGGCGAGGTGGATGAATGATGAACTTCTTTATCAATTAGCTGCTGAAAGCTAATGTGTAGGAAACACTTCTATAGCTTATTTAAAGGTCATTTTGCAAGTTTCGTGTAATTTGCATTGGTTAACCTTTTATCGTTTTTTACTTAACATCATCATCTTACTGATCCCACCTTGGATTTAATTCAGATATTCTGTGGAAGATACTGGTGCTGTCAACTATATTGCTTGGACGCCAGATAATTCTGCTTTTGCAGTTGGATTGAAGTTAAGAGGGCTTACAGTATGGTCCGTTTCTGGCTGTCGCTTGATGTCTACAATTCGCCAGATAGGTTTGAGTTCTGTTTCTTCTCCTGTGGGTAAGCCAAACCCGGATATCAAGTATGAGCCCATGATGGGTGGTGCCTCACTGTTACACTGGGATGAGTATGGATACAGGCTTTATGCTATTGAAGAAGGATCTTCTGAGAGAATTATTTCCTTTTCTTTTGGAAAATGCTGTCTCAATAGAGGTGTTTCTGGTACAACCTATGTACGCCAAGTTATCTATGGCGAAGACCGTTTACTTATTGTACAGTCAGAAGATACTGATGAACTGAAGATCTTGCACCTCAATCTTCCAGTTATGTACAACACACATTTTTTATGAAATTTTTTTGGTGTTCCCCTTTCTTCTACTTTTAAGCCTATGACTGATAGACTTTGGAATATTACAGGTATCTTATATATCCCAAAACTGGCCTATTCTGCATGTTGCTGCTAGTAGGGATGGAATGTATCTGGCAGTTGCTGGGCGTCATGGTTTAATCTTATACGACATAAGGTTGAAGCGTTGGAGAGTGTTTGGAGATGTCACTCAGGAACAACAAATCCAGTGCAGGGGATTGTTGTGGCTGGGGAAAATTGTGGTGGTGTGCAATTATGTGGATTCTTCTGACGCGTGAGAATTGAATCTTATTAATCTTCTTGTATTAGTTTCGTAGTTGTGTTCTGAAGTAAATAAGCCATTGGTAATAAAAGATATACAGTCTAATAGTAACTGGACACCACGTGAAGTTGGCTGTTGTCAAATTGTCTTTCAACGTCATGTTGTGGTGTGCCTTGGTTACGTTGTGGTGATGGAAATGGATTTTGTAAGAAAAAATTAGTGGATCAGCAAATTTCTTGCAAGATTTTTACGTGTGAAGCAGAAAGTGGCTTGCCATATTACTCTGGGTATTGGATGATTGTTGTTCCTCATATGTATGTTGAAATTAGGATTATTGCTTTTAAGGCAAAGGTTTGATGAACCCTTAGATTGGAATAATACCAAGATCTTTGGCCCATTTCACTGCTGCTTGCATAACATTTATGCTATTTCTGTGATGCACAGGAAAACTCTAATTTTCAGATTTCCTGTTAAGCTGGTTTTTACTGTAATTATTTATGGTTTCAGATATGAATTGCTTTTCTATCCAAGATATCATCTTGATCAAAGTTCTTTACTTTGTCGGAAGCCGCTAGTCACAAAGCCAATGGTCATGGATGTTTATCAGGACTATCTGCTAGTAACTTATCGGCCATTTGATGTCCACATATACCATGTGAAAATAACTGGTGAATTGTCTCCTTCGAGTGCTCCAGATTTACAGGTATGAAATGCCTCTAGTATGATATAATATCCTCATACATTTTTTTTATTCTTTTTTCTGAACTTTTCTTTAATGGTGGAGCACAATTATAGATTTATAATTTAGAACCAGAGTATAATGATATATTCTTCATTCATTTTAAGTGATAAAATGACAAACAGCTTTCTACAGTACGAGAGCTTTCAATCATGACGGCAAAGAGCCACCCAGCTTCGATGCGTTTTATCCCTGATCAGCTTCAACAGGAACGCAAGCTGAAGAGTGATCTTTCTTCAACATCTATTTTGTTAAACCGAGAACCTGCTCGGTATGGTCTGATATTTGTTTATTATCTGATTAGTTAGGATCATGCATTTGGTTGGTGATTGGCTGGTGTAAACCCTCAGGTGCTTAATATTGCGGATGAACGGAGAGCTTTCACTCCTTGATTTGGATGATGGGCGTGAAAGGGAGCTTACTGACTCTGTGGAGTTATTCTGGGTTACATGTGGTCAGTCAGAGGAGAAAACAAGTTTGATTGAGGAGGTTTCCTGGTTAGACTATGGCCATCGAGGGATGCAGGTAAAAATTACCCTAGCCATTACGCCTTTTAAATAAATTTTGGGTTATTCTCTTCACATGCCTAATATAAAACTGATTGAAGCTCATTTACAGGTATGGTATCCATCCCCAGGTGTTGATTCATTTAAGCAGGAAGATTTTTTACAGGTATTATTATATTTTATTTATGCCTCATATATTGTAAACTCTCCCTTTTATTGTGCTACTCATGTAGGATCCCCCACAAGAGGAACCTCAAAATGCCGCCTTTTAGTAGTTCCCCACCCCCTGCCTCCCCTTCCCCGCAGCTTGTAGGAGGAATTGAGTTTTACTGAATATAAAATAAGTTATCTTCCTATTGGTTGAATTGGTAATTAATAGGAGTGACTATCATCCATGTGTGAGAATCTGTTCACCTTGTTGTTGAGGGGTCGATTTGAAGAAATTAAGTTATAAATAAATTTAAAATGATTGTTATTCTTCTCAATGTTGGTGAGAGCGTTATTTAACATGGTATTAGAGGGAAATGGAGTTGCGTTATTAACAAATTAAGATTTGATTTATTTTTGTTTATATGATTCGAAACTATTCGGTCTGAAATTTTATAATTACAAATTTAAATAATAATTTTAAAACAACTTGATAAAAATATACACATATCTACTATTTATTATTTTTTCAAATTAAAACAAGATTTTCTTGTTTTAACAAAAATAAAAATATCACTGTATAGATATAGTTTTAATTATATTATATATTTATTTATATAAAATATAAAATTAATATTATAAATAAATTTAGTTTCATTTATTTATTTTGGAAAATACATATATATAGTATATTTTATAATATGTATATATTTTTTAATTAACGAATTAAATATTTACAAATATCTAATCAAATATTAAGATTTCATATTTATATTTGATTCATATTTGAATGGAATTGAATATTTGTATTCGAATTCAAATCATAAAATTTCGAATACGAATATCAAAATTCGAATCGAACAAAATTATTTGATTAATTTACAAGTTGCGTACATGCAAAGTCAAAACTGTTAACTAAAACTATTTTAATGATTTGAAGTGGTGTTGAACAATTAATCATGGTACTGCATTTCCTTCTATCAATCATTGTAGAACTTCATTTCATGTTCAACTGATTTAGCTAGAATTTTGAGGACATAAAGTAGAATATGTAGTTTTTACTCTGATATGAAGGATATATATACATGCACATTTATTTATTTATCTATAAGATCCATAATTGGTATTTGACTTATTTTTTTTCATGTGATAAGTTGGATCCAGAGCTTGAATTCGACCGTGAGGTGTATCCCCTTGGTCTGCTTCCAAATGCTGGTGTAGTAGTTGGTGTTTCCCAAAGATTGTCATTTTCGGCATGTACGGAATTCCCATGTTTTGAGCCTTCTCCTCAAGCACAGACTATATTACATTGCCTTCTTCGGCATCTTCTCCAGGTACCATAGTGAACTATATCTGGCTGTCAATTATTAAACTGGTTGACTTTACTCTATGTGCATAGCTCATTGACTGTTTTGTTTTATGACAAATCTGTATGTTCGTATGCATAACACTATGTCATCATGGATCCTTGAAGACTGACATGACATTCCTCGCTTTCATATCTCAAAGCAGGGATAAGTAGTTTTGATATGGTTACTGAATGCTTGTTTTTCACAACTTGTGTGTTCGTGATGCCTGAAATAATAATAATAATCACTATGTGAAACCAACATATTTGCTCCAATTGACTGATTTGCACACTAACACTTCAACAAGAGGCAAATACAAGAACTAGTTTTTAGTCACTTTTAAACTATTATGCCAAAAAAAGTTCCACCTCTTGTAAAATGCCAATGTCTGTCTCTCTTCTCTCCTCGTCCCCCCACTCCCCACTCTCTCTCTCAACCAAACGTGCACACAGTTTCTGATTATGGGTTTTTCAGAGGGACAAGAGGGAAGAAGCTCTACGGTTGGCACAATTATCTGCAGAGAAGCCGCACTTTTCTCATTGCATGGAGTGGCTTCTGTTTACAGTTTTCGATGCTGAAATTTCAAGGTAATTCTTATTAGGAGCATTTTGTTAATTAACAGCACACTTGCACTCTATTCTTAATTGAACTGTGCTTCTTATGCCAAAACAGAAGCAAGAAACTGTTACAACTTTCCTATCAGCAGTACTCATTTTTTTCTTTCTCTTTGTTGAAGTGGTGGGGGTTGGATTATATATGCATACTATGATTTTATTTCTTTGCATTTGATCAGAAGTTAGATCAGTTTATAAGTGAACTGTACTAAGGTTATACATGAAGGACGTAAACAATTGCTTTGGTGCTCGTAGTAGATTTATTGGCCACCGTTTGTCTTTAGATAACTTGGTTGGTGTTTTCTAGGAAGCACATGCTCTTGTCTATATATTTTATTTGATCACCATAATGATTAGTTCGTTACTATTAACAAAAATCTTTATAACTTTATCATCCCTACCACAGCTTTTGCTCTATACAATGGGTGTCTATATGTTCTTTCTCTGGCAGATATGTTATATACAGGAATTTTTATTGTTTTTTTTTTTTTTTTAATGGTAGCTTTCATGGTTTTTACCTTTCTCTAGCACTTACTATATCCAGTCATTCTTTGCAGCCAAAGTTCAAGCAAAAACCAGGCAGCAGTAGCTAATCATGGAACCTCTCTGTTGGATAAGACGTGTGATCTAATCAGAAACTTTCCTGAGTATTACGATGTAGTTGTTAGTGTGGCAAGGAAAACTGATGGCCGGCATTGGGCAGATTTATTTTCTGCTGCAGGGAGATCAACAGAGTATGAGACTTCTCTTAACTAAATTTTTAGACTCATTCCAAGAAAAAAAACAAATTAGAAAGCCAAAAGTTGCAAGATTTGATTTATATAAAGTATAACCAAAATTTTTTAAATTGTTATGGTAACAATGATGTGATTGGTCCTATTGTTTTGAACGACATTGATGATTCCAATGAGTGGTTAATTAAAGAAGTTGATAATTGTGGAGGATAAGTTAGTCTTTGACAAGATAATTTGACTAGGGGAGTTGTTGATGCTACTGAAGCTAACGGGCCTACTTTCTACACTAGGATGTAAACATCAATACATCTATGAAAAAGAAAGTTATAGGTACTTCTGACTCTAAAAAATGAGATGATATTATGTAAGGTGTTGAACATACAATAGAATAAATGGATGAAAATGAAAGAGGAGGAAGAATATTCAGACAAGTAATTATGCAGGATACGAAAATGAGGAAGAAAATTCTTATTTGAATTTGAGTAGTTTTGATATATATCTATCATACAATAGTGATCTAATTGTTTTTGCTTATAATATCTAACAGTTATGATCATATCTTTTATTTTTTGGATATTTTATTGGTTTGAATGATGATTATGAGATTAATTTATAGGTTTTTTTTATGTATTTTTGTTGTAATTTTGTATATATAATAATTTATATATATATATTCTTAAATATTTAAATAGCGGTCATACCGTTATCTGCTATCCTACTATAGCATTTTAGATATTGACCGCTATGCATTTATCCGTGATTGACAACTATGGTAAGATTTTGGTTTTTGGTGTTGGTTTTGAATTGAAATAGTTGTTTGATGTGATATAAATATATATTGATGTAATGTTTTGATTTTAGTGTAATAAAATAAATAAAATGAGTGTTTGATTTGATTTTTTTTTTTAAGGAAAAAAAAATAGTAAAATCAGGGATAAAATCCCACAAGTAAAAAGAGTACTTGTATCAATTCTGTAAAATACCCATTAACTTAATTTAGTATCACCACTGGAAAGGTTGATAATTGCGGCTGTAAGGTTGCAAATTTTATTATCTATTTTAGCATTCACTTTTTTCTAGTTAAAATGAAACTTTGTTGGAGTTGCCTTCTTATGATAAATCAATATTTTGCTTTCAGGTTGTTTGAAGAGTGTTTCCAGCAAAGATGGTACCAAACTGCAGCCTGCTATATACTTGTAAGTGCATATTAGTTGCATAATCTTTACTTTTCTCTCCCCCCCCCCCCCCCACCCACCCCCCCCCCCCCCCCCCAAAAAAAAAAATTGTTGTGTGGAATCTACACATTTTGGTACATCAATGATCAATGGTTCAGATTACCGCACAAAAGGAAGTCCCTGCCTTTGATTTTCTTGTTATTTAGTTTAACTAGTTAATCTGCTGCTGTAAAATTAGGTCCAGGGTGTTCATAGTATACCAGCAGTATATACTAGGAAAAGAGTGAAACTTCTGGGAAACATCTTATTCCTGCCGAAAATTTATTTTGCTGATTCTGGTCTGTTGTTTATGTTGCCTCAGGTCATTGCTAAGCTTGAAGGTCCGGCTGTGAGTCAATATTGTGCCCTTCGTTTGTTACAGGTTTATGGCTTCTTTCTCTCCGCATATAGTGGCATGAAGATGCTGCATTATTATTTAAAGTTCCAGGATTGCTTGAAACGCAGTATGATTGGCTTTCTTCATAATTAAAGCACCCCTTTGTAATAGTATTTAGGTTATTATGATTTTATGATGTCAAAAAGCTTTTCTAAGCATATTTTATAGATATTGAGTATAAACCTTTAACAAGCATATTTTCATAAGTTCTATTATTTCTCTGAAGACGTGTTTGATGCCATAATTTGACCAGGACTTATATCAATTTTTCAGGCTACTCTAGATGAGTCTCTATACGAACTTGCTGGAGAGCTGGTATGCGTCCCTTCACTGAATGCACAATTTTTCTTGTTTCCATGCTTATTTCATTTTTTTCTTCATTGTTTTTCTGCAATCAGGTGAGATTTCTTCTAAGATCTGGAAGAGAGTACGAACCCGCCAACACAGATTCTGAGAGAGACTCCCCTAGATTCTTGGGATATTTTATTTTTCCTTCCAGCTTTAGGAAACAACCCCAGGATGCAAAAAGGTGAATTTAGGCTATCTCAGCTATTATTGTGAATTTTCTATTAAACTTATTTACTTCTCTTTGATCATTTCACTTATATTTTGAGCAACCTTGCTGATGCATGTACACATTTTTTTTTTTAATTGTTCGGCAGCCCCTCGTTCAAAGAGCAGAGTGCACATATTACATCAGTAAAAAATATATTAGAAAACCATGCCAGCTATTTGATGTCTGGGAAGGAGCTTTCCAAGCTTGTAGCATTTGTCAAAGGCACACAATTTGATTTGGCGGTATGATCAACTGCTGCTTTAAGTATATTAAATCTTAAAATTGTTGTATTTCTACGCCTTTTGGGATTTGTGAACTTGTTAAAATTTATTACAGGAATATCTTCAGCGGGAACAGTTTGGAAGTGCTCGATTGGAGAATTTTGCATCGGGGCTTGAAATGATTGGGCAGAAGGTGATTTTGGCATAGCATTCACATATTTTAGTTTACTATTGTAGGGTGCTTTTGTCGTGCGAAATTCTAAAGAGTAAAGTACGCCTCCTGCTAACTAGTGTCCCAATACTGTCTTGTTACCTCAACTCATCTCTATATGAGCCCTAGCTGATTAAAGAACGATTTCAGCTTTCCATGTGATCTAATGCTCGTGATGCATGGAAGAAACTATAGCTGTTTCTGATTACCCTGGTTATTCTTCTGGATGAGATTTCGGCTTATTTATTGAATTATCACAGATGTATGGATGTAATTAGTCATTCTGTCTGAAATATGATTACATATTAGTTGGACTTATATCGATTCAAATGAATCGTACTACCCAAAGTTTCCTACAATTCATTGATTTTTATTATAATATTTTTTTTCCGTGTAGCTTCATATGGGAACATTGCAAAGTCGTTTGGACGCAGAGTTTCTCTTGGCTCATATGTGCTCAGTCAAGTTTAAGGAATGGATAGTTGTCTTGGCGACACTTCTGAGGCGCTCAGAGGTATGATGACCATTTGTATAATTTGATCTCAACTTGTATCAAGGGTTGTGTAAATGCCCTCTGCTATGAATTTTCAAATCACAACTAAAATAAGTAATTGGAGGCGTGATATAATTCAGTCATTCTACTAAAAAACATTGTATATTTATTTGGTTTGTATCCATTCTTGCGCTTACCGGCAGAAAGTAGAACCCTCAATCAATATTGATCTCACTTGTCCTGTGTCTCTTCAGGTCCTTTTCGATTTATTCAGGCATGATTTACGACTATGGAAAGCATACAGCATCACCATACAAGTAAGGATAACCGATTTGGTCGAATCGCTCAAATAATTTTGTTCCCGGCAAACCTGACCTTGCTTTAATACAATATTGTGGTGCAGGCACACGAAGCCTTTGCCGAATACCATGACTTGCTCAAAGAGTTGGAAGAAAAGCTTTCGTCTCTTAATGCAGGATGAACCTGAGTATTGCCTCTTGTTCACCTTCGAATTTGTCATAGGCAAGCTCGAAATTCTGGAGCCAGATAAGTATTTGTTGCTGTGTGTTTAGGCAAAACTTTGTTTTGTTCTTTAAGAATCACATCAAGTTGTTTTTTTTTTTTTTTGGAATTTAGATTTAGGTTAATGGTAAAAATAGATGTGCATATATATATATATATATCTATAATAAATGTGTTTGCTCTAGTTATTATCTTTTGACCAAAAAATATATATACAAAAGTTGTTGAGAGCAATTTATGTAATGATTAATTTGTTTTGCATTTTGTTAGTGATTTGATGGATGGATGCGGGTGTGTTTGTTTGGGGATTTAGATTTTGAATTGAGATTTAAATAATAAAAATTTTGAATTTGAATAGTTGTATGATGTGATATAAATAAGTGTCGACCTTAATGTTTTGAATGTAAAATTAATTTTTGATGTTTTGAATGTAAAATTAATTTTTAGTTGGAATTTGTTCAATTTGTTTTATGAGCATTATGGGATTGCTTACTACTGAATCTTTATGTATTTATTTTTTTTATTAATATGTTTTAAAATGTTACTCCCCATCCCATTTAATTTGGCTTTTTTTTATTTTTGCATGTCACATAATGTCTTTTTTTTTTTAAATATAAATTTATTTTTTATAGTATTTTAAAATTCATAATTTATAATTTTTTTATTATAAATAAACTATTTAGTCATTTTAATCTATAATTATTTTTATTAAATTATAATTATTTTTTTAATATATTTTAAATATGTTTTTTAATATTTACTAATTACACTATTTCTAAAATTTCGTGCTCCAGCTGATGTGGACAAATTAGGGATAAAGTACTGTATAAATATTAATTTTTATTATATTTAATGATTATTTTATCCCAAAAACAATAAAACATTTATATAAATAGTACAAAATAAACATTCACACAAGCAAACAGAAAAAAAAATAAAATAAAATAAAAAATTGTTTTATTAAATATTTGCTTACATATATTTACTTTTGAAAATTTTGGTATTATTTATTAATATTGTATTAAAGTATATTTTATTTTGCAGTTAAGCTTCAACAATGGATGGTATCTGTTGGTGTGCCAATTATAGACGTCGATTCATTGGATTCTACTCGTTACTAAACACGATCATTCTGTATTTTAATGATGATGAAAAAGTGGAATTTTTTTACTAAAAAAAATACAAATAAATTTATATTACATTAAAAATAAAATAAAAATAAATTTAAATGACTTATAATTTTGAATAAAAAACAATCAAACACAAGATTTTTTGGTATTGTATTTTGACCATGGCCATGTAGAGCACAGCCATTTTTACAACATACCCCTATTTAATTAATGCAACATAATAATAATAATAATAATAATAATAACAATAAGGTGCCTCCGCCAATCATTTTAACCATACCATTTTTCTGTACACTCGGTTAGGGTATTTGATGCACATAAATAAATAGAGATAGAAAAATAAAATTATATCTACATTTTTTATTGTTTGATTACTACGGATAATTTATAATTGAGAAATAAATTATTGGTTTTTTTGCATATTGATATTTGAATATTAATTATTATATCAAGACATAGTACAAATCGAGAAAAAAATGACAAGAATATGTTTATTAGTCTCTTATGATACTAATACAATAATATTTTTAGAGTAAATTATTTAAATATAAGGATATTTTTAATGTCAAATATAATGAAGCAAAAATCAAATGGCAACGTTGTTGCGGGACGGAGAGAGTATTTTTAATTTTCTAGTTTTATTTCTCTTCTCATGTGTGCAGATAAATAAAATTGAGATAATACAATGTGTTTTTTTGCTTATTTATTTTAATTTTTACATTTAACTTTTACGGTTTAATTTGAGTTTATTTACTATATTTTATTTTGTTTTACTATTATTTAATTTTTATATTATTCAAATCTCATAAAATATTATATCTAAGTTATTATTTAAGTAAATTAGCAAACTAAAAATATACAATAATGTTATTTTATTCAATTTATCATTTTTAGTGATCATTTTATTTTTCAACTAGCAATATAACATTTTTTTTATATATATACTTTGTATTTTTTTCACTTTCTTAACTAATTTTTTTATTTACTTAAAAAAAAAAAGATAATTCTCATTTTTTAATGAATTTAGCTTAGTGCCACTATAAGATTCAACTTAGTACCAATCAGTCCCATTTCTCTCTCGTTATACCATAGGTAGCCCTCATATCTACAACTCCAACTAAATTATTTCCTAATAATTGATGCACCTCGCAAGTCACATGATAATTAATACAATAATATTTGTTTGATTTTGATTTGAATTTGAATTTTATTAAATAGTATTTTAATATGATGCTTTATAGAAAAATAATAATTTGTTCGTCCGCCTCTAATAGTCATATTTATCTTTTGCGTCATTTTACTAAATATTAAAATATTTCTGTATAATATATATATATATTTTTTTTACAAATGTCCTTCTATTAGTATTATAAGATACTCGTTGAAGTATTTTTGCAATTTTTTTAATTTGTACTGCGTTTTGATATAATAATTAATATTCAAAGAACAACACGCAAAAAGTAAATAGGATTCTTAGAGCCGGACAGAAGTAGTATATTTTTGTTTAGAGATTTGGATTTTAAGTTAATATTTGAATAGTAGTAAACAAAATTTGAATTAAATGTGATATAAATATGTATTGATATGATATTTTGAATATAAAATTTATTTCAATATAATATAAAAGATAAATATTTGATTTGATATTTTTTTTAAGAAATTTTTTTGTAAATAGTGAAAATATAAGAAAATCTCACCAACAAACACACCCTTAGATTCATAGTATTAATTTGTATATAAAATACAAATAAAATATGAGTGCTTAAAAATCATATAAATTCAGTGTTAATTTGTACTAACATAAGTGTATTTGGTAACGAGAATAGAATGACTAATAAATGTGTGTTAAACTAAAATCAAGGAAAAAAATAAATTGGGTAGAGAGTAGAAATGTATTATTTTATTTTGTAATCAATTAAAAAATATATAAAAAAAAAATACAGTAATTTGAATGAATTGGATAAAGAGAATTTTGGTGAATAGAAGTCCAAAAATATTGTTGGTGATTTTTTTTATATGAATAATAAATTAAATTTAATGCCATAATTTGTAAAATCAAATTAGTATTATTTTTTTAAAAAAAATGTAAAAATTAAATATTTATAAAAACAAATTAGATTCCGTATTTTGTAAAATCGAAATATTGTAATTTTAAAGAAAAATTATAAAAATTAAATACTAGAGAAAATAAAAAATAAACACACTACATTTTTTTTGCATATGTTAGAAATAAGAAATAAAAATAAGAAATAATCTATTTTTAAAGTTCCATCTGTCTGATTAAAAATAATTGATACTCCCTCCCTCCTCTGAATATGTGCCCACTTTCCATTTGTGTTTTCTTTTTTTTTTTCTTTTTTTTTTTTTAATTTTCTTATCTAAGTAAAAACTATCACTTTTTATATTTTTCTTATTAAAAAAATAATAATAATTCAATCAAAACTCCCGCACACTAAAACTCATATTTAAGGCAACGATATTACGCTGAATTGCACATCGTCAATTGTTTGACAACACATATATTACTGCAGACAACACTCTATATAGGTTAATATAATACAAATACATCACATGAACAAAAACATAAGATATAGTCTCAACAACACACAATATTATGAACAACACATTGTATATTTTAATATAATACAAATGCAACATATAAACCAGCGCATGTTATAATTTCATACAACACACAACAGTTAATTTTAACACATAACACAACACACTTGTAATTATTAAATACCTTTATTATACACAACATGTGCTATGTGTAATACTAATGTGTGCTGTCATGCAAATGTGAAATCAATATGGTGTGCTAAATTTTTCGAACTCAGTACCGTAATCATCCCCTAATAATAATAATAATAATAATAATAATAATAATAATCATAAGGCAAATCGAAACGAGCCGAATCACCTTTGAATAGCTCAAACCACACCCGACGGACCCGACTCATTGTCATTGTCATTGTCATTGTCATCTCTAAAACTTGTCAAATAAAATCAAATCAAATCTTCCCATTCTCGTCCAAAACATTTAAAGACATTCTGAGTGAGTCCTCTCTCTCTCTCTATTAGCAACTCACTCCTCTCCTACCGATCAGTTTCAAGATTTCTAAATGCACAAAAAACGTTTTTCCTATTTATGTTTAGAAATGGAATACAATAGAAGCATCACAAGTCCAAAAATGCTATGATCAATTCAAAGAGTAGTCGAAACGTACCGTACCATTCAGATATATATATATATATGTGTGTTGTGTTACTCTGTCGACCGTCTCTGTTTAGTTACTACAGCTCAACCTGCAGTTTCTCAAAACACAAGGCGACGATAATGGGCCCTGAAAGATCCCCGACTGCACAACCTACAGAAAAACGCACAAATCATATTCGATTAAAGCAAGAAAAGATATGTGGATATCCTTCTTCATTTCACGTTGTGTTGGTTCTACTCTACACAAGCTGTATCCAAACATACCGATCCATTGCCCAGCCGATGGTCGAATAAATGTTGCTCCAATCCCAGCTACAACAGATGCAAAAATAAGCGAAGCGCCACACCTCACCGTGGTGCCACAAACCTTCTTTCCAAGAACTCGAGCTTGTTCTGAAGTGTCGACAGGAGCTTCGCCTTCTTCCTTGGGCTTGGATATTGACCTCAGGAATCGATAAATGTCAATGCCTACTTGGACTATCCATGATGCTAAAACTCCGAGGAAATGTCCTGCATATGCAAAAAGGTGCAAATTCAAATAGCTCAGCTGTCCAAGAGATAAGAAAGGTGGGGCGGATTACATTAATTATGTATGTGAGTTACCTCTGAAAGTGGTTCTGCTCACGCAAAAAACGTATGTTGTAGTTGGCATTCCTCTGGCAGCCTTTCGAGTGGCTGATCTTGGTACATCTGTGATAATTCGAGGATAATCTCAGGACAACATGGATAATGATACTGGTATCAGTCGCTCAACAAAAAATGAAGAATACCTTTGAGAAGCTTCCAGGCCATGCGCTGGGAAACATAGTGAACTGCAAGTCTTTCAAGTACTCGCCTCGTAGTAACTACACTTGTCTGAACAATAAGTAATGTTTGAGTTTGAGATTAATTCTCCAGTATAACAACTAATTTCAACATGACAACTTAGACAATTTGACAAAAAGAAGTAACCAATCCAAACAACAGTTATCAGAGACAGAAGGTTTCGACAAAAGCTACTTTACTCAGAATTGACATTTTAAGTGTCTTAAGAGTGAATGATGATCCGAACTGCAGCTTTCATCATTGTCAAGCAGCACATGACGGCAACAATAAAAAAAAAATAAAAAAAATTGGAATAAAACATAAACAATCACCAAATGTTTTGAATGATCCGATCCAAATACCAAATCGACCAATGAGTTTAATGTTATTAAAAGATAACAAAATAAAGCTCTCAAAGTTTACCAAGAGATGGGAAGTGTTACCTCACGAACTATTTGCTTAACCGATTTTTTGAAAGGAACAATCAAATCCAAACGTTTTTCTTCAGGATTTTCCTGTAGAAAATCTTCATCATCAGCATCTTCCACAGCCGTTTGGGGCTCCACAAGAGGCAAATAGAACAACAGGAAAGACCTCAGAGAGGTCAGTGCTAAAGTTTTCCAATGAAATGCTGAGAATAGTGGTTTCAACTCAATATTATACTGCTTGGGACTGTAGTTCAGCACATTGCTATCAAATATCTTTCCAGAAGCATAGCGTATGCTTGAAATGTAATCTTCATCCAGAGTTGCACCCACATCACAATACGCAACTCGTGTGAGGCCATTTCTGTGACATAATGCATCAACACCAATCAAATAATGTATAAAAATATGAGCTATATTTTACTTTAATCCGTCCAATTCAATGATCTTTATTTCTTTGAATGATAATCCCGCTTGTGAGTAGCATATGAGAAATTCTCCCCGTTTTATCAATTTCTTTTACAAGTCAATCAGCTCTCCACTTAGACATACTTCAATCAATGCATCAAGGTCGTATTCGTGCCTATTGTGAAACACATTTGATTCACAAGCCATGCAATAACATCAATTCACACCTATCAGATTTGGATGAATGTGTGCTTTCTAATCCATTAGAGAAGCTTTTCATCTTCTATACATGCAGGAATACAGATAAAATAGGCTTAAAAACACGCCTTACATTCATAAAAAACATAGACTCCTCCCAACTGACTCCATTCCATTTCCATTTTCTGGTCAAGTCCATCAACATCATGCATTTACTTCAGACACCAACTTCGGACAAAAATAAAAAAACTCCTCAGCAGTAATCAAAATCGAAAAACGGAAACTGAAAAAACCTTTCGCCGACATCCAAACATAACAAAGGTTCGAGAAATACAGAAAAAAAACTAACCCAAACAGAGCACCGAAGGCGAAAGGAGTCGCGAATGCGAAAGAAGCAGCGGCGGTGGAAGCTCCGCCGAGTTTGGTGGTAAACAGGCTTCTCGAATTGAAGGCTTGCGCACCGAAGTGCGGATTTCTCCTCACCATATCCAGCAACGCTATGGCCGCCATTCTTCAGATGCCTTTCTTCTCCAAAATGACAAAAATCAAGGACTAATTATTGATCAATCATACAGAGAACAGATCCGCCAAAAAAATCATACAGAACGCCAGAATTGAGATCTGCAGAAAATGGGAAATCTCGCGGCTTTAATCAGGAAAAATCGCGAATCAGCCTTCGGCAGTCTACCAAGGGTAACGGTTAAAGGCCGACTTTGAAATTAGGGTAACGGTTGCATCCAACCGTAATTAAAGATAAAATTGTGTTTTTAGTTTCGATTTTTGTTTAATGCAATAATTAAACATTAGAGATTAAGGAATAATAAAGGAATAATAGTATTATAGTATTAACAAGAGAAGTAAAAATATTTCTGAAAGATTAAAAATATTTTTATTTTATATAATTATTGTGAAAAAAGTGGAGATAGTTTTGTAAAAAAAAAAAAAAATATGCTTACCAAAAATAAAAATAAAACTATTGTTGAAATGAACAAAAATGACAAAATGAAATTATTGTTTTGGGACGGATGAGGATGAATTTCGCCATAGGAGTATTAAATAGTTCAATAGTAGTACTATTAGAACATCCGTCACAGTCACCTACTTTATTGCCTTTGTGATTACATTTTTAGTTTTTACTATAACAATATTAATTATATTTAATAAGAAATACAGTTATTCTAAATTTATTACATTTCTCAAGAATTTTTTATTTTCGACAAAAATAATAAAAATTAATTAAATATTATCTTTTTTTTTTAAATGTTAAAATTTCGTTTTATCTATTATATATATATATATGTTATCTCTGGTTTTTCATATTCAAATTTTAAAACAATAACTTATATTTCAAATTATTAAAATTTACCTAAATTAATATTTGAAAATTAAAATATAATATTATATAAAAATATTGTAAGACAATAAAAATATATAAAACTATGTATAAATAAATAAATTATTTTTATTATATTACTACATAATAAAAATATATAAAAATAAATAAATTATTGTAGATATTATAAAATAGTAAATATAATGAGTTGAAGGTAATTAACTACAATGGGTGATAGAGAAAGTAATTTGAATGTTGAAATAAATATAATGTGGACGAGAGAGATAATAAAAATAATAGACTAGATGTAACGATTATAACGGATGCTCTTATGGGTGTGTTTATTAGTGGAAATTGATTTTGATTTACTATTCCATTTTATTTTTTCTTAAAAATATCAAATCAAATACTTATTTTTTATTTATTATATTACACTAAAAATTAAATTTTACATTCAAAATATCACACAAATTTATACTATATCACATCAAACAACTATTTCAATTCAAAATTTTATTATTCAAAATCAAAACTTAACCAAAATCTTAAAAGTAAACACATCAACGTGTGATGTGATGATTTTCTTTTTATTTTTATTTTTATATTTATACTTAGAACACTATTATTAAATGATATAAAATAATTTTTTATTTATTAGTATTATATTCCTTCCGTTCTCATCTCAAAGTACCATCTTTACTATTTTTGTTTGTCTCACTTTAAAATATCAGTTTCATATTTTAGTAAAAGTAATTATACATCAATGCCAAAATATCCTTAACTTTTACATAAATTACAAATATATCATTACACATATACTTACTTTTTACACAAAATCAAGGGATACTTCGGAATATCAAATGTATTTTCCAATGTCAAAACAAAACCACTACCCAATACTAAATTGCACGTCCCAATGGCTTCCATAGGTAAATGCATCTGACTGCCCGAATAGATGAACTGTTCACTTCCCATTAATTTTCTTAGGCTTTCCATACCCTGCAAGGTATTAGAAATATAGATTGTAGAACCAGAATCAACTCACTATGTGTTATAATTATTATTAACCATATTAGTTTCATAACAGACAAATGTAGAAGGAATATCTTTCTTTTCGAGCCAATTCTTAAACTTAACACAGTCTTTCTTAAAGTGCCTTTTCTTTTTACATAAAAACACGTATGACTTATTCTTTATGACTCGCTCGGAAGGCCCAGGTCTCTGATCCTTAGCATCGTGCTTTTTCTTTTCTTGCCCTGAACCATCCTGTTCACTTTCTCACTTCTCCATCAACATGCTCTCATTCTCTTAGACACACATGGTCATCAACTAGTAGATGGAGCATTTATCCTTGTGTGTATTGTAGGATATCTTGAATGGACCGTATTGATGAGGAAAGGTGCACAAAATATAGTGGACAAGAAAAGACTTAGACATGGTCACCTCTAAGGTTTTCACCGGTGCCGCAATGTCCCACATACGCATTATGTGTTCATGCACACCCCTCACACCCGTAAGCTTCACGGTGGAGAACTGAATAATCAATGTACTAGAGAGAGCCTTATCGAACTTGACGAATTGTTCGTTAATGGCCTTCCAAAGCTCTATGACATTAGTGTGCTAATCGACATACACACTGATACTAGCAGATATCTTGGTTTTTCTGAGCATCATGGAAAGACATTTAGATCTCTCTCATCGTTCATAAAGATCTACCATATCTGACTCGCTAGTTTCAGTAATACCCGATGGTTCGTCTTTCCGAATAGCATAATCAATGTCCATCCAGCTTAAATAAAGAAGAATTCTCTTCTTCCAAATTTATAGTTATATCACTAGTTAATTCAAGAATATCGCACTTAATGTGTTCTACCAATGTAATTCAATATCACTAGAATATATATCGAGCGTGTTGATAGGAAACACAGGCACCAGCTCTACCTAGAACAGCCTCGACTAACCGATTTAAGTCCCGCACACCAAACCCTAACCACAATCACTCGAATAGTGAACCCTCGTCGATACACAAATGAAAATGGCACAAATCTTTCACTCTTGCACGAGGAAACACTCACCCACTGACATGGAGTAAAACCCCCACACAAACTTCTCAATCGATCGCACACAGTATTGAGAGGAAGAAGACGAAGAGCAGAGAGCAACCACTCAGATTAAATCTTCAACACTTAAATCGGTTAATGGGCTCGGCCAAAGAACTGGACCACGACTTCTCACGATTGGGCTTTAATATACAAAGGCCTCATTACAAATCATAGGCCAAAATCCAACAAACTCTCCACCTTTTTAGGCATGATAAAATGTGGGGCACCTAGAGAATCATCATAGCGACTTGTGCTAGAACACAAAATTAGTATTTACTCAAAAACCAAATACAAGAAACAACATACTAGAAAGCAGTAAACAACTAACTAGGATCAAAATTTAAAATTCTTAAACATGAATCAAATTTCGAAACAGGCAAAGGCTTTGTCCCCATATGAGCGGGGGTAAATTGTGAAGGTATTTTTTCAAGTTTTATAAAACCTTTTGCAACTATATCTTGAATAAAATGGAATATAACATTAATATGTTTGGTTCTATCGTGAAAAATGGGGTTTTTGTATAATTGAATACCTGATTGACTGTCAAAAATTACATGTACCTCACCTTTCAAGTATTTGATTTCTGTCAGCAAGCCTTTGAGCCATAAGACTTTTTTAATTGCCTCTGTCACAGCAATGTATTCAGATTCGGTAGTCGACAGCGCAACTATATTTTTCAACTCACAAGAACCACACAATGTAAACACATAAGATGTAGTTGATTTTCTACTATCCCTGTCATTGGCATACTTAGAATCCACATAAGTAATGTGAAAGCCATTTTAATGTAACCCAATTTTCCTGCCCAGGATTAGCCATAAATCTACTCAAACAACTCACAACATATGCTATATCAGGTCTATTAGAAACCATAAGATACATCATTGAACCTATTACATTTGAATATGGGACATTAGTCATAAAAGCATGATCAGAATCTGTTTTAGGGGGCTGATTCTTAGAAAAACATAAATGAGATGCAAATGGAACATTAACAACTTTAGAATTAAAACATATTAAATCATTTCAGCACATTTTCAACATAAGCAGGCTGTCTTATAAATAAACTTTTATTTGTTCTATCTTTTTTAATATGCATGCCCAATATTATTTTAGCATCACCTAAGAATTTCATATCAAAACAATCACTCAAGCATGTATTAATTTGATCTATTATTTTAAGATTTGGACTTATTAGCATTATCCATATAGATCAAAAGAAAAACAGGCACACTTCCAACTATTTTAAAATAAAGATAGTGATCTTAAACACTCATTTCGAAATTTAAAGATTTTATGCATTCATTAAATTTCAAATTCCATTGTCTAGGTGATTGCTTTAATCCATAAGAGATTTATTTAACAAGAAAACAAAATCAGGTTTATTTTTGTCTACAAAGCCCTTGCGTTGTTTCATATATATTTGTTTATCCAAATCACTATGAAGAAAAGCTGTTTTCACATCAAGTTGTTTAAGTTTTCAATCAAAATGAGTTACTAAAGCAAGCATCACACCAATAGTACAATTTTACAATTGGGGAGAAAATTACATTGTAATCTATGCCTTCTTTTTGAGTAAAATCTTTTGTTACTAGTCTTGCTTTAAATCTAACACGTTCTTCTTTATTTTTTTTTTACTTTGAACAGCCACTTAAAATCAATCAAAGAACCATGCTCAGGTTTTGGGACTAATTTCCATATTCTATTCACTAACAATGAATTCATTTCATCATGCATAGCTTGAAACCATTCACTTTTATATTTAGACTTCATAGCTTCCTCAAAAGATTTAGGTTCATTTCCATCAAAGGTATCAAATACACTAAAAGCATATAAAGTTGAGACATAATCGTCTAATTTAGATGTAGGCCTAATATTTCTTTTAGGTCTTTCACTTACACTAGGTTCAACATTAAAATCACACAAATTGGACCCACTTGGTCCATTATCAGACATGTCAGAACAGGCAGGAACAACATCAGAACTAATTTGTTCACTTTCAGGCACAAAATCAAATTCAGTACTTTATAATTCATAAGAACTAACAAGACTTTTATTATTATCCACCTTATTAGGGCTTTCATCTAACTCATGGCTTTGAACTTGACTATTTTTATTTAAACAAAGCATATCTAATTCATTAAAAGTCACATCACGACTAATTACAACTTTGAAACCTGGATAATTTCAATCTATAACCTTTAACACCTTGGGTATATCCCAAAAAAACACATTTTCTGCCCTAGGTTCGAGTTTATCAGATTTAATGAATATAAAAGCAGCACAACAAAAAACCTCAAATTAAACAAATCAACAGGTTTTCTTAGCGAAACAGATTGAGGAGATTTGCCTTCTAAAGCCACAAAAGGAGAACAGTTTATTATATAAGCGGTTGTAGTAACAACTTCTCCCCAAAAAGTTTTGGATAAACCCGAGGAGGCTAACATACTCCTCACTCTTTCAAGAAGAGTTATATTCATCATTTCGTCCACCCCATTTTGTTGGGGTGTATAGGGGACTGTTTTATACCTAGTGATACCACATTCATTACATAAAGAATCCATCTATTGGTTACAAAACTCCAGCCCATTATCAGTTCTTAGGAATTTGATATTATGTCATGTTTGATTTTCTTTCAAAATTTTCCAATTTTTTAAAAGTTTCAAACACATCAAATTTGTTTATCATCAATAAAACCCAAAATTTTCTTGAAAAGTTATCTAATTGACAAGAAATATATATTCCCACTATGTATGGGTTCACTTGAAGGACCCCATACATCGACATTGAGGTATTCTAACACTCTAGAAGACTTATGCACATTAGGGGCTGGAGTGGTTTGGAATTGAAGTCTATGTTGCTTACGTAGCACACACTCTTCACAAAAAGGTATTGATAAGACTGTCTTTTCCAAAATAACCATTTTTATTTAGGATTTCTAAGTCTTTGTTACTTATATGAGCCAATCGTTTATGCCACAAAACAGTTTTATCATCATAAACAGAATTTAGAAAATTTTTAGAACTTAAAAAATTGACTCCACCTTAAAAACATACAAATTATTTCTCCTCTCAGCTTTAAACACAACTATACAGTCCTTAAAAACTTTCATAACACCATTACCCCACTTACCTTCTAAGCCTATATCTTCTAAACCCACACAAGAAAGAAAGTTGTTACATAAATCAGACACATGCCTCACATTATTCAAGGTTAGCACAAAATCAGAATAGAACTTTAGTCTACCTGTGTCTATGCCCTCTACTTTGCAAATTCTATCATTTGTCATTGAAACAGTGTTGTTACTTAAGGTTTTGTAGTTTGAAAAAACATTTTCCAGAGGTATCATATAATATGTACATGCTGAATCAATCAGCCATTCACTTTTATAAACACTGGTTGCATTAGAAAAATCATATTTTACTATGAAAACATCATCAAAATATTGATTTTCTAATGTCAAATTTTCATGTTCTTGGGATTGTATTTTACTGTTATTATTATTGTTAGGACCAACTTTCTTAGTACACTGTTTAACATAGTGCCCCTTTTCTCCACATGCAAAACATCTTCTATCATGATTTTCAGACTTAGATCTAGATTTTTCCCTTAACTTCTTTTTATTTTTATCATTTTGGTATTTGCTGTTATTATTTGAATTTGCATTATTCTTCCTATAAGGTGATCTACCCCTAGTAAACATAACCTCACCTGAAGACCTATTGATTTTATTAATAGCTAAGTCTAGTTCATTACTTTTTAGACTACTAACAACAACATCCAATGTTATATTATCTTTACCATACCTAATTGCTGATTTTACATATGAGTAATTATTAGGGATGGCATTAATAAAACAACTGGAGTGTATATATCTATTTTAGTATCACCGGTGAGTTTTAAGTCTTGAATAAGCTTTTGAAAAACATCCAAGTTTTCATCAATGTTTTTATGCAAATCAAGTTTAAAACTGAAAAACTTTTCAAGTAGATACAGTTTATTTAGGAGGGAAGTTTCAGTGCAGGTTTTTTCTGTCCCACAATTGTCTTGCAGTTTTGACCTCACCAACTTTTCTAATGACTGAATCAGACAGATTTAGAATTATACACGAAAATGCCATCTCATCTATCTATGCGTTTCTTTCATCAACTACAAATGCTGCAAAATTTCCATCTATAGCCCTAAACAGTTTCGGTGTTATTAAAATTCCTTTCAACTTTTGTTTCCATATTGCAAAATATGTTTTTCCATCAAATTGAATTAGATTTAAGAAAGATGGATTTGACATTTTCACTTTAAAATTTTTAGGGAAAAAAAATAGATTTTAACTCCAAACACAAATTCTTGTTCACAGAAACTACTCACACAGTGTTTTAAGGCACATAAAAATACGCAAAGGGCAAGAGACTTTTATAAACTGCACACTGGACAGATTAAACATAGAACAACAACTTTCTCAAAAAAAATTTGGCACACTTTCAAGCAAAGGAAAAATTAAAACGAAGACTGCAATCACACAACACAATAATGACCACAATCAGTATCTTCCCAACACAAAAAAAAATTCACAGGCAAACACAAAATGCCACAATCAGTGACCAGGCCACAATCAGTGACCTTCCCAGCAAAAAAAAAAAAAAAAAACAAAAAGGATCAAGCCTTTTACCGACTTTATATTTTCACACTTGTGAAAAAAAAATACAACGAACAACCATTGTGTTCACTTTGTCACGTTTCTTTGTTCCTGCAACACTCAACAAGAGTTAAAAAAATTAGTAATATACAATGTTTCGTATCAAGACACCAGAATAGCCTTTCGTAAAATAGTTTTGGTTTTCAAAAAACAATTTTAAAAAAAAAAATTGTTTTCTGTCAAAAAATAATTTAATTTTGAGGACTGTTTTATTTCAAGAACAGACCCACTATACTTCTAATCCTTAAAAAAAACTTTACAAACCTGCAGGATTTTACTAATTATAAGAGAATTAAAGAACTAATAATGATTAAAAACTTTTAAGTGAAGATTTAAAAGAAAAAGGAAGTTCCAGTCAAAAGAATAAAGAATTCTTCAATCTCAGACACAGCTGGTTCACTTTTTTATCAAACCAAATACGAACAGTCTGATATTTTATCAAGAATTAAAAAAACACTTTCAATTTAAAGATCGATGACTACAAAAAAACAATTCGAATGAAAAGCCTTTACAAAAAAAAACACAACAGAAAAACACAAGTTGACTGATCACAAACAAGAACAATCAAGTTTTACAAAATAACCAAAAGCTCTGATACCAATGTTGTGTTTTTGTATAGTAAAACTTGATTCTAACAAGAAACAATACAACTAAACTTAAAAATTCTTGTATTGAATCGAACAAAAAATAAAGCACAAGAACTGCAAAGAGAAGTTCGGCTCAGCCCCTGGCACAACCTTAGAACATATATCGGACATGTGGAAAGAAAACACAAGCACAAACTCTATCTAGAACAGCATCGACTAACCGATTTAAGTCCCGCACACCAAACCCTAACCACAATCACTCGCACATTGAACCCTCGCCGATACACGAATAAAAATCGCACAAATCTCTCACTCTTACACGAGGAAGCACTCGCCCATAAACACAGAGTAAAACCCCCACACAAACTCCTCAATCAGTCGCACACAATATTGAGAGGAAGAAGAAGAAGAGCAGATAAGAGAAATCGCGATATAATGACTCGATGATCATCAATCTGGAGAGCAGCCACTCAGATTAGAAGGGTGTTTGGGAAAAAGTGTTTTGAATAACTTTTAACTTATTGAACAACTTTTAGCTGTTTGATCAGTCAAAAAGCTAATTTAGGTGTTTGGTAAATTAGTTTTTTGAAAGAGCTTTTTGGACCCAAAAGCTAATTTCTGAAAAGTTCATCTACCAGCGTTTTGAAAGAGTTTTTTCATTTTAATTTTGGTTATTCCTTATTTACCCTTAAAACTTAATTATATATTTTATACATATAAATATATTTTTATAGCAGTATTTATTAATTATTTTTAATATATTTAATTTACTAAATTATATTTTATTTTTGTAATATAAAATAATTACTATTATTAATTATTACATATAAATTATTTTATTTGTAAAATATATAAATTTTTTAAACTAAATCAAATAGAAAAAACAAAGGTTATTAATTAATTTATCTATTAAAATAATAATTAACATAATAAAAATATATATATACGAAAGATTTATTATTTTATATTTTACATAATTTCAATAAGAAATTATTATTTTTTAGTAAAAATAATCTTCTCAGATCTAAATAATAAAAATAAAAATAAATATTTTATAATATTTTTGTATTTTTAAATAATTAATAACAAAAATTCTTGTAAATTTCAAATCAAAATGAATAAAATTAAATATTTTAAAAAATAACATATCAATGTCCTTAATAGTCATTTTATGTATAAACAACTAATGTTTAACCGTCGTTTTACCAAATACTTTAATACAAACTGCTAATTGAATCAGCTAGTCAAACCAGCTAATTAAATTAGCTAACAGCTAACAACTAATTGAATAAACTAACAACTATTTGAATCAGCTAACAGCTAAAAACTATCAGCTAATTGCCAAACGCACCCTAGATCTTCAACACTTAAATAGGTTAGTGGGCTGGGCCAAAGAACTCGCCACAGCTTCTCACAATTGGGCTTTAATATACAAAGGCCTCGTACAAATCATAGGCCAAAACCCAACAGTTACGATACAACTCGTAATATAAACCGGTTTTTTTTAGTGATTTTCAGCCCCAAATATATATATATATATATGTATATACAACAAAGTTGTGTACGTATATGCCTCCATATAGCACAGTATAAGTTGTACCATATAAAATTGTATTCCCTCCGTTCCAATACAATAGTCTTGTTTACCATTTTTGTTTGTCCCTAAACAATAATCTCATTTTCATAAATAATCATATCACTATAAAATTATCCATACTTTTTCATTATAATTACACAATTGTCACTATTTTTTACACTAATATACTAACAAAGGCAAAAATCTCATTTACCCTTACTTTTTACCAACTACCCATATAATATCAATATTCCTTAAATCTTGTGTCCAACACAATAAGACTATTTTTTTGACGGAGGGAGTATGCTATTTGCGTTAATATACCATGTTAATTGGATCAAATTAAAAGGATGCTCGTTTGATCCATCAATACCCTAATCATGGCCAATCACACTCTTAGGATTTATTTGGTTCAAATGAATTGATGGTGTGTTCCATTGGCAAACTTCACCTGAATTTTTACTATTTATTTAATTTTTTTTTAAATTAAATATTTATTTTTCATTTTTTATTTTATTAAAAAAAACTAATTTTACATTTAAAATATCACATCAACGTCTATTTATATCACATGATATCACTACTCAAATTCAAAATTTTACTATTTAAATCTCAACTCAAAATCCTAGCTCTCAAACAAACACACCCTTAATGTAGCGGATGAGAGGTGAATAAAGGGAGAGATATAATATTAAAATTATAATACACTTTCCGTCTTATATAAAGGGGAACGTATGTTTTTTGCATGTAAATTTTTTAATATTGATATTATATTGGGTTATAGTAAAAAAGACGAAAATATCCTTATTAGTAATGTGTAATATAAAGGTGGTGACATTTATATAATATATTGTAAATTGGAAGGGTATTTATTATGTTATGTAGGTAGTACAACTACTAAATTAAGAAAACAGTACCCTTGTTTTGGGACGGACGAAAATAAAAAATGCAATCCTTCTTATGGGACGGAGTGAGTAGTATGTTTAGTTCATATGGGAGGAAAATAATAACTAGATAAAATAGTGTTTTTTGTATTAGTTAGATAGGGAATATGAAGAAAATTAGAATAATTTTATTATTTTGTCCTTATATTATATAAATAAATAAAAATAAAAGTAATTAATAAATTTTAAGTAATTTATTCATAAAGCGTAAATCAATTTATTTGTCAAAAATAATTTTTTTTGATTTGAAGTAATTTTTTTTTATGTAAGAGAGAATAAATTTGATAGATAATATAAAAATAATAAATGTATATAGTATATTACTGCTTTGTTCTATATAAATTGTCCATTGTTTTCTATTTCTGTTTGTCCATATAATTTGTCATTTTATTTTTTGGAAATATTTTAATCATATTTTAAATTTTATAATTTATAATTTTTTAATTTTAATTAAATTATTTATTTATTTTAATTTTAATCTATAATTATTTTTATTATACCATAATTATTTTTACTCGCACACTTTTTAATTACTTACTAATTATACTTTACCTAAATTTTCGTATTTATAGTAACGTGGACAATTTATCCGGGACGGAGTGAGTAATTTTTTAGACAAATGTGTAGAAGAATTTTCATAAAACAAACAAACCCATAATAATTTTACATACAAATAACAATAGATATAATGAAATTTATATAAAATAAGTTAATTATAAAAATTTAATTTACAAATTTATCTTGATATAAATATATTTATTTGTTTGAAATTAAACCCAATCGTTTAGAAAATCAATTTAAAATTGTTTATTCAATTTTTTTTAATTATAGATATAATTATATACTACTTTATATATATTTTTTTAAATATATTCCCTCCGTCCCATGTAATATGAGTGTATTACTGTAAACACGGGAATTTAGGTACGTAAGTAATTAAGAAGTGTATTAGTAAAAATAATTATTATTTAGTAAAAATAATTATAGATTAAGATTAAGATAAGTAAAAAATTTAATTAAAATTAAAAAAAATTATAAAATTTAAAATTTAAAATGCGATTAAAGTGCATAATTATAATTTCAAAAATAGAAAAGACAAGTTATGTAGGACGGACGAAAATAGAAAATATGGACAAATTATGTGTGACGGAGGGAGTATATTACTTCATCCTCCCCGATATCATATCATAATTAATGTAGATACGAGAATTTAAGAGAAGTATGATTAGTAAATTACTTAAAATGTATTAGTAAAATTAATTGTAATATAATAAAAATATTTTTAAATTAAGGTAAATTAATTAATTAATTTAATAAAAATTTATAAAATTTAAAATATAACCAATTTTTCTCAAACTCATCAAAAGAAATGTAAGAAGTTTTTTAAGTTTAAAGTAAATTTTTAAAAAATAAAAAATTACTCCCTTCGTCCGACTAGAAAGTATACATATTTCTATCTTGGGACGTCCAATTACAAAGTAAACATTTTATTAAATACTTCATTTTTTTTCCCACAAATACTCTTACTTTACATCACATCATTATTTTTACACAAAAAAGGAAGTGCAAAAAAATTATTACACTACTTTTAACTACCAATTGTAATTAAAATACTCTTATTTCTTAAATAGCGCAGCAAAAATAAATGTTTACATTCTATGTGGACGGAGAAAGTAATATTTTAATGTGATATTTTATATTAAAAGAAATATTAATACTACCTCGTCCGTTTCTAAAGGTTACATTTACCTTTTAATATTAAAAATATCCTTATATTTCATTATATTAGTAATATAAGACATTAATAAAATTATTTTTGTCATTTTCTCTTAATTTATAGTACGTTTTGATGTAATAGTTAATATTCAAATATCATTACACAAAAAATAATTATGATATTATAGCTGGACAAAGAGAGTATAATATTTTTTAAAAATTAAAATAATACTAAACACTTATGGTATGTTCTTTGGGAGGATTTCCCCATAATTTTTTTTTAAAAATATTAAATTTTTAATTTAAAATATAACATTAACATTTATTATATCGTAGTGTTTAATTATTTTATTTAAATTTTTAAATTCAAATTTCGTATTAACCATAATCCAAACCTCCAAACAGATACATTCTTTGTGCCTTTTAAACAAGTGCGTTTGTTTGGGGTTAGGATTTTGAGTTAGGATTTAAATAGTAAAAACTTTGAATTTGAATAATTATATAATGCGATATAAATAGGTGTTGATGTAATATTTTGAATGTAAAATTAATTTTTAATATAATATAAAAAATAAAAAATAAATATTTAATTTGATATTTTTTTAAAAAAATAAAATAAAATAAATAATGTATTTAAAATTCAATCCCCGAACAAACACAGTCTTCGTTGAAGACCATGAAAAAGAATCGAATAGAAAAATGGTCAATCGAAAAAATACAAAATGTCAAAATCCAATGCACGTGAGGTGTTGGTGGTCAATTAGTCAAACAGATATTGGGTGCAAATAATATGAACACGTAGGGATAGAGTGGTAAATTCAGAAAAATGTGTGGTTGGCGCACGATTTGGAGATTTTGGCATTGGGTGAGAAACATGGGTCTGGTCAAATTTACGAAACCAAATTTGAAACGTCTTTTCACAAATTCAACAACTCACCTTTATCACTACTCAATTACTATTCCCGTCCCACGTAATTTCTTCGTAGATTTCACATAATTTATTTTTTTTTAAAAAAATAAATTAATTATACATTTTAATCATATTTTAAAATTTAAAATTTAATTTTTTTAATTTTAATTAAATCATTTAGTTATTTTAATTTTAATCTATAATTATTTTTACTAAATAATAATTATTTTTACTAATATATTTTTTAATTATTTATTAATTATATTTTACCTAAATTCCCGTGTCTACTATAATATACCCATATTACATGGGACGAGGGAGTAACATTG